TGGGCCAGCTCTGAAGGGCACCCAGTTCTGGGTGTGGTAGCGTGTGTGTGGGTCGGAGGAAGTGAGGTAGGCAAGTGACAGCTCAGATTGGTGAAATTTCCCCCAGAGAGGATGGATTTGTCTGTCTTACTAGAGTCTGTGGGTGTTGCTTTCATGTTTTTGAAACTATCACGTTCCTATATATTTTGGAACGTTTCATCTTTCTGCTTGAACTTCTTGTCAAAATGAAGGGTATTTATCTTCTTTGGTTTGAAATTTTTTTATTATTATCTTTTGAGACAGGGTCTCTGACTCTGTTGTCCAGGCTGGAGTGTGATCTTGGCTTACTGCAGCCTCAGCCTCCCCAGCTCAGGTGATCCTCCCACCTCAGCCTCCCAAAGTACTGGATTACAGGTGTGAGCCACCGCACCTGGCAACTCCCTCACCGTATTTCAACCCAGCAAGACATGATCTCTAATGCCTGGTGACATCACCATGTGCTTAGATTTTTTTTTTTTTTTTTTTTTAGGGGACAGAGTTTCAACCTTGTCACCCAGACTGGAGTGCAGTGGCGGAATCTCTGCTCACTGCAACCTCTGCCTCCCGGGTTCAAGTGATTCTCCTGCCTCAGCCTCCTGCGTAGCTGGGATTACAGGCATCCGCCACCACACCTAGCTAATTTTTTTGTACTTTTAGTAGAGACGGGGTTTTGCCATGTTGGGCAGGCGTGTTTTGAACTCCTGACCTCAGGTGATCCGCGTGCCTTGGCCTCCCAAAATGCTGAGATTACACGCGGGAGCCACTGCGCCCTGCTGCTTAGTTTTATTTATGTTGTTTTCTTTGTTGTGCTTCCTGCATTTTTTCCATCTTTTACTTGGTATAATTTGCTTTTTGCCTGAAGAATATCAGCATGGGTCTGCTGGTGATTCCGTTAATTTTTATTTGCCTGCAAGTGGATTTATTTTACCCTCGTTCTCGAAGGACTTTCTCCTCTAAGGTGTGTAGAATTTTAGCTTGACTCTGCACGTTGCATGCGTCGTCCTTTCTCCTGTCTCAAAGGCCATCTCTGGGCACGAGCGCCTGTAGGGTTATGGCCTTCACCTTGGTTTTTGGTGCTTATGCGCTGATGGACCAATTTTTTTTTTGAGACAGAGTCTCACTCTGTCTCCCAGGCCGGACTGCAGTGGTGTGATCTCGGCTTACTGCAACTTCTGTTTCCTGAGTTCAAGTGATTATCCTGCCTCAGCCTCTTGAGTTGCTGAGACTACAGGCGAGCACCACCACACTGGGCTAATTTTTGTGGATTTCACGATATTGACTAGGCTGGTCTCAAACTCCTGACCTTGTGATCTGCCCGCCTCAGCCTCCCAAAGTGCTGGGATTACAGGCGTGAGCCACCGCGCCCGGTCCCAGCACGTGCTCTCGGCCTCTTCAGAGTTTGAGGCCTCTTGGATCTGTGGCTTGAGGCCGTTCACATTTCTTCCAGTGTTGCCTCTGTCCCGTTCTTGCTCCCTCTCCTCCGGGGCCCTGAGTCTGACGATCCACCTCTGGAAACTTCATCATCCGTTTGTCTTTCCTGTTTCCTGATGGATATTCCCTCCAGTGTCTTTCAGTTCATGAATTCTGTTTTCTGGTTATGTGTCATAGGCATTAAATTCATCCATTGAATTCCTAAATTGGGTTGTTACAGTTCCTGGTTTTAGAATTTCCACTTTTTTGAGACTGAGTTGCTCTTGTTGCCCAGGCTGGAGTGCAGTGGCACAATCTCAGCTCACTGCAACCTCCACTTCCCAGGTTCAAGTGATTCTCCTGCCTCAGTCTCCTGAGCAGCTGGGATTTTAGGTGCACCCCTCCATGCCCAGCTCATTTTTGTATTTTTAGTAGAGATGGAGTTTCACCATGTTGGCCAGGCTGGTCTCGAAATCCTGACCTCGAGATCTGCCTGCCTTGGCCTCCCAAAGTACTGGGATTACAGGCATGAGCCACCGCGCCCAGCTGCCCCCATTCTTCATCTCGTCTTTCATCTCCAGTGCATTCGGAGTCCATGCTGGAAACTCTGCCATTAGCGCCCTTCAGTCTTCTGTCTGTTGTTTCCCGTTCGTGGTCCTTGCTGCCTGTTCCTCATGAACTGGGTGCCATGTGAGAAACAGGGAATGAAAGGCTCAGTGCGGTGCCCTCGCTTCCCACCCCTGCCACCCCGGCCCCTCTGCTCTGATGGCGGAGCCTGAGCGCAGCCCTGTCCTCCACAGGTGGATGACGAGCTGGAGATCAAGGCCTACTATGCAGGCCACGTGCTGGGGGCAGCCATGTTCCAGATTAAAGTGGGCTCAGAGTCTGTGGTCTACACGGTCAGTGGAAGGGGCCGGAGGCTCGGGAGGGGCTACCGGGGTGGGAGGCACCCTCACCATGGCAGCCTTGTTCATTCACCAGGGTGATTACAACATGACCCCAGACCGACACTTGGGGTAAGTCTGCCGAGGCGTCTTTTGTCCTGTAGGCCCCCTTGGAGCTCGTGACCCTTGTAGCTGTGGGGATGCCAGCCCTTAAGTGGACAGCCCAGCAGTGTCTCCCAGGTCTGGTGTGGCCCGGAGAGCCTCTTCCTTCTGGGCTCAGTTTCGCGAAGGCACAGGGTCCAGGCGGAGACCTCTGTGCCTCCTCTCTTCCCAAGTGTGCTGTCCACAGCATTTTACCAGCTGGGTCTTTCCAGCCAGAGTGGCCTAGGAAGGCAGCTGGGGTGGGACTGGGGTCCAGCTTGTCACACCCAGTCCTGCAGCTGTGGGGACAGTCTGCCACAGCTCACCCCGACCCGTGTTCCAGAGCTGCGTGGATTGACAAGTGCCGCCCCAACCTGCTCATCACAGAGTCCACGTACGCTACGACCATCCGCGACTCCAAGCGCTGCCGGGAGCGAGACTTCCTGAAGAAAGTCCACGAGACTGTGGAGCGTGGTGGGAAGGTAGCTGCAGCAGGGCTGGGGACACAGGCCCTCAGTCATGCCGGGCAGGTCTTTCTGGCAGGCTTGGCTGTCCTTGGCATAGGTCAGCGTCTCAGAGTGTGGGGTGCTGCATTTTCAGGTAGGGAGAGAGAAAAGTTTGCTCAGCATTGAGGAGAAAAGCTCAGAGACCCTTCCCTAGGGAGCTCCTTTGCCCCTCCTACCTCAGATCCTGATGAAGCCTTGGCCAGGGCCCCCATGCCGCTCTCTTCTGTCTCCGGAGAGTCGCTGGGATGGGACTGGGAGCAGATATGAGAGGCTAAGGTCCACACGGGGCCACAGCTCTTGGGTGCCTGGCCGTGCCCTCACTGGACACTGCCTGCTGTGCCGAGGGGCCACGCAGCCAGGGCTCCTGCTTGGGCCAAGCGTAATATGTCCCCCAGGTGCTGATCCCCGTGTTCGCGCTGGGCCGCGCCCAGGAGCTCTGCATCCTCCTGGAGACCTTCTGGTAGGTGCTACCAGGATGGCTCTTTCAGGAGCCCTGCCCCGGGTTGGAAGCTGCGGCCATGCATTGGCCCAGCGTGCACACAGTCCAGTGGCACAACTGCTGGGTGTGGTGGGCAGCCCTGCCCAGGGTGCCGCTCGCTGCTGTCCTCGGGGGGAGGCCTGTGACGTTCCATCGGTGCCACTGTTTGTGGCTCTTGATGGGGTTCCTGGTCCTCCACCATGCTCGGCTGCCACAGGGCTTAATGGGAGATAGGGTGCAGACACTGGCCTCCTGTGGTCATGATGGGAGACGGGGCTCAACCCGGCCTGTGTATGGGTCGTGCAGATGAGATTGTGGGGGTGACCCGGCTGAGTCCTGCCCTGCAGTGTCCTCCCGTGGCCACTGTGCTGACCAGGACGGTGGTCCCCAGGGAGCGCATGAACCTGAAGGTGCCCATCTACTTCTCCACGGGCCTGACTGAGAAGGCCAACCACTACTACAAGCTGTTCATCCCCTGGACCAACCAGAAGATCCGCAAGACTTTTGTTCAGAGGAACATGTTCGAGTTCAAACATATCAAGGCCTTTGACCGGGCTTTTGCTGACAACCCAGGGCCGATGGTGAGGCCTGTGGTGGGGCTGGCCAGTGTGTCCACGTCAGCTGGCCTTTCTACAGGTCCCTGCCCATGGGTCTCTGGGCTGGGCCTGCAGCAGGGGTGGGGGGCATCTCCTGCCGAGTCGACCCCCTCCCGCCCCTGCCCTCTGTCTCTCGTAGGTTGTGTTTGCCACGCCAGGAATGCTGCACGCCGGGCAGTCCCTGCAGATCTTCCGGAAATGGGCGGGAAATGAGAAGAACATGGTGAGGGCCGTGGTGAGGTGCAGGAACCTGGAGGCTAGCGGGTTGTCCTGACACTCTCTGCCTGAGCTCTTGCTGGCCTGGCCCCATGCTGGCTGAGGGACACTGGGGCCTTTCAGTCTCCCTGTGACGCAGCCCGTCCACCTTAGGCAGAAGAGCCCCAGCCCAGCCCTGGACAGTCTTGTGCCAAAACCTGAGCCCTTTGGAGTCTACAGCTAGGCTTGGGAGGGCACCACTGGCAGGTGGAAACAGCTTCCAGGGTTCAAGTTGGGGCATCCCAGGGAAGGCCCTGAGGTGCCAAGGCTGGGGTCCTGTGGCTGTGAGCTCTGTGCCCGCCCCCAGGTTATCATGCCCGGCTACTGCGTGCAGGGCACCGTGGGCCACAAGATCCTCAGTGGACAGCGGAAGCTGGAGATGGAAGGGCGGCAGGTGGTGAGTCCTGATCCCCCGCGGGCTGGCAGAGCCGAGGGGCACGTCCTGGTGGTAACCACTGTCCATGCCCTGCGGCCTGCAGCTGGAGGTCAAGATGCAGGTGGAGTACATGTCGTTCAGTGCCCATGCGGACGCCAAGGGCATCATGCAGCTGGTGGGCCAGGCAGAGCCGGAAAGTGTGCTGCTGGTGCACGGCGAGGCCAAGAAGATGGAGTTCCTGAAGCAGAAGATCGAGCAGGAGCTCCGTAGGCAGCTGGGCGGGCGGCTTGGGGCCCACCTCGGGTCAGCGTAGGCAGCCTGCACTGAGACTGTCTCTTCCCCGGGGTCCAGGGGTCAGCTGCTACATGCCGGCCAACGGCGAGACGGTGACGCTGCCCACGAGCCTCAGCATCCCTGTAGGCATCTCGCTGGGGCTGCTGAAGCAGGAGATGGCACAGGGTACGCGGGCAGGGCCGGGCTGGGTGCTTGGGCCGGGTGGCTGGGAGCTGCCCTCACGTCGATGGCCCCTGCTGCCTCCACAGGGTTGCTCCCTGAGGCCAAGAAACCGCGGCTCCTGCACGGCACCCTGATCATGAAGGACAGCGTGAGTGGCAGGGTGGCCTCTGGAGGGGGGAGGGCCACTGCTGCGCTCTCTGACCTGCCCCTGCCCCACAGAATTTCCGGCTGGTGTCCTCAGAGCAAGCCCTCAAAGAGCTGGGCCTAGCCGAGCACCAGCTGCGCTTCACCTGCCGCGTGCACCTGCACGACACGCGCAAGGAGCAGGAGACTGCATTGCGTGTCTACAGCCACCTCAAGAGGTTGGCGCCCGGCCCTGCCCCTCCACCTCTCGGGCCCTGGGGGCAAGGCAGGGTCTCATGGAGCCTCCCCACAGCATCCTGAAGGACCACTGTGTGCAGCACCTCCCGGACGGCTCGGTGACTGTGGAGTCCATCCTTATCCAGGCTGCCGCCCCCTCTGAGGACCCAGGCACCAAGGTGCTGCTGGTCTCTTGGACCTACCAGGTAAGGGGCGCCCCCGCCCCACTGAGGTCAGCTCAGGTGTCACCATCCCCTCCCCGTCCCGTGCTGCCCATGGTGCTCTTGCCTCTGCTCCAGGACGAGGAGCTGGGGAGCTTCCTCACGTCTCTGCTGAAGAAGGGCCTCCCCCAGGCTCTCAGCTGAGGCCAGCCACCCACCCACCTACCTCTGCCCTCACCTAGCTGGAGAGACCTGGGCCTGCACTTCAGGACTGTGGGTGCACTGGGTGAACACACCCTGCGGATCCAGTCCCTGGGGGTCATGTGCCCGCCCGAGTGGCTGTTTGCAGCTGAAGAAATAAACTGACCTCCGGGCTGCTTTGCCTTTATTCCTGCTCCTGGCCCCCAAAACGATGGTTAGGGCAGGGGGTCCCAGACAGCAGTTTCCAGTAAAAGCATAACAAAAGATCACTTGGTGCCCCCGACTACGTCCTGCACTGCACCCTGCCCCGCCCGGGACAGAGATGGGCATCCAGGGTGGTGGGACTGAGGCAGACGGGGCTAATTTGGAGGTAAGGCAGCAGTGCTGTGGGCCCCAGGTAGCTGCAACTGCCCTGGGGTGGCCTGATTTTGGCTGAGCGTCCAGGGTCATTCGTGGCTCCCAAACTGTGGCCCCTGCAGGGTGCAGGAAGCAGCATCTGTGGACACACCAGACACTGCATCAGTCTGGGGCAAGGTTGGCCCAGAGCCCTCCCTGCCACTGACTCCCAGGGCCAGGGCAAGACGGGCTGGACTGAGGGGCTGCAACCCTGGGGGGGACACCTGCACTCCTGCAGTCACTGGCCCCCGGCCTCCCCACCTCACACCTTGACTTTCTGGTTGGGCAATGGCCAGATTCCTCTGTGGCCGGGTGGCAGGAAGGCTGTGCCTTCTCCCGTGAGGACTGGGCCTCAGCAGTCAGTGGGCATACCGCAAAACCCTTCTTCGGCCCGCTGCTCTTACCAAGGCTCCCGTACAGCACTGACTTCAGGAATAAGCCGTGGGCTGGGGCCAGGCGTGTCTGGTGCTTGCCCAGGGGGTCTTGGCTCTCCAAAATTGTCTTCACCTGCGCAGGTGCCAAAGCCCCCAGCCCCACGGCCACCAGCACAGCTGTCATCCTCCGTACCTGTGACCCAGAGCCAAGACTGCACAGGGGCCTGCCCACCCTCAGCCCCGCCCCCCCAGGGAGGGCCCCAGAACAGAGCCCACCTGTCTATACAGGAAGGACTGGCTCTCAAACTCGAGGCTCCAGAACTGCAGCTTCCTGGAAAACAAGTGCCTGTAGGTAGCCCACCAGCCTCAGGGGGTGGCACGGCGGGGCCTCGGGCAAGCCTGGTTCCCACTAGCTCGTCCCCCAGGGGCTCTGGCTGACCCCATCCCCAGTGAGGCAGACAAGCAATGCCCAGGCATGGAGGTGGCAGGACTCCAAAGGCTGGGCAGGTAGCCTGGCCGTCCCTGAGGAGCGTGGCCAGAGGCCCAAGCCCTATACCTGCTGCTCTGCATGGGAGTCTGGGGCTAGCAGAAGTTCTTCCTTCTCTCAGGGCTCACCCCAACCGGAGGTTCTGTGGTCAGAAGCTGCCACCTTGTGAGTGGCTCTCCGGACAGTACCGGGGGCAGCAGAAACCAGCCACTGCCAGGTTGGGCCAGAATCACTGGCCCCAGTGAAACCTTTTTGGTAGCTGCCAAGATTCTTTCATTAGGCAGGGCAGGGGTTTTTCAAAGAAAGGCAGCCTTCCCTGTGCTCTGCTCAGCCTGAGGGGAGGGCATAGCTGCAGGCAGGGGGGCATCCTGGCCACCCGACTGCCCCACATCCTCCAGCTGACGAGGCCCTGAGGATGCCCGGCTGTCCCTGTCCCGCCTGGCCTTGCCTTTGCTGAGGGAGGTGCTAGAGCTAAAGTTAGCGCTGCCAGTCTGAGGGCAGGGCCACAGGCTATGGGCCCTTCCTCACCTGCTCTCCTGGGGGGTGACCAAGGGGCTGGCCAGGCCTGGGGACACGGAGACACGGCGCAGTGTCCGCACGGGGCTTGGTACCGGGCTGCCGGCCGACTGGAAGGCGCTGAAGTCGTGTGTGCCGAGGAGGTGCTGGGCCGCTTCCTGCATGGCGGCCACGTCTAGGCGGCTTCAGGGATCAGGGGAACCGTCAGGAAGGGGGGCCGGCCTGCCCCCTCCCTGCCCGCTGTCAGGGCCACACTCACTCTGCCCGGAGAGCCCAGCATAGGTTGCGTTCAAACACGGGCAGCTCGTCAGACCGGTGACAGCCGGTGACCAGGCGGTACAGGTAGGTCCGGGACGTGGCTGCGTGGCGAGCGTGGAAGTCGCTGGGCACTCGGAAGGCCCGCAGGACCCTGGGGCAGCAGGTCGGGCTCACCGGGGGAACGAGCCCCAGACCTCGGGCTGCCCAGACCTCCAACCTCGCCCGCGACACGCGGAGTCGGGACGGCAGCGCCCCGGGGCTGCTCAGTTCGCGGGCTCACCTGATGGCCGGGTGCCGCAGGTGGGTGTTGAGGGCCTCGGTCAGGACCTCGGGCGGGAAGGGCGGCCGGCCCGGGCGGCGCTGGACGTCCAGGTGCGCCGCGTTGCTCAGGGCGTGCACCCCGGCGTCTGTGCGGCTGGAGATGGTGAACCTGACCGGCTCCACGGAGTTGAGCCGCTCGGCGGCCTCCTGCAGGACCGAGCCGCGGGGCGGGCGGGTGGGCCGGGCCGGACTCCCGGGACGCGCGGGCGGGGCCTCCCCCCTGCCGTTCACCGGGCGTCCCGGGACCCGCCGAGCTCACCTCCAGGTAGTTCTGGACCCCGACGGCCCGCTGGGCGCCCCTGACGGCCGCCACCCCGCTGCGGGAAGAGGCGGGCGGAGGTTACCGGGGCCGCCCTCCGAGGCCAAAGCCGCTTCCTCCCCCGAACGTTTGGAGCTCGCTTCCGGAGACCTCCGCCTGCCCGCCCGCGCCCTCCTTCCCGCCTCCACCCGGGCCCACGTAGTGGTCCCCGCCGCGCCCGGGACACCTACTTAAAGTCGGTGCCCACATACTGGAAGTACACGAGGTAGCGCGCGCGCACCGAGCCCGCGGCCGGCGCCGAACCCATGGCCGAGCCCGGCCCGCGGCACGGGAGGTGGTCTGCAGCGCGCGCACGCGGCGTGGTCGCGCTCTTGCGCATGCGCGGTCGCCCCGCACCCCGGCCACGCGCCACGGCGGCCTGGGGCGGGGAGCGGAGGCGGGGCCGGGCTTAGGGAGCGGTTGCAAAGTGCCTGCCCGCCGCCGAGCGCAGGGCCTTTACCGCCACCGCGGCGCCCCGGGAGGCGCGCTCGCAACCACGCGGCGACCCCGCGCTCCCGCGGGCGTGCGTTCGTTCGCTCGCTCATGCACTCGCCGCCGCCCGCACTCCCCGAGCGCGCTCTGTGCCGCGTTGCGGCCAAGTCCTCCCAGACGTGGTTTTTGCAAACGCCCTGAGTTGCGCAACGGCCAGGATGGCTGGAGCGGGCGGGGTCCGCGCCCTCCCCGCGCCCCACGGCCCGGCCGACCCTCCCCGAAGTCGACCGCCGCGGTCCCCGCCTCACTTGCGGACCCGGGTGGTCCGTGGACGCTGCTAGGGGCGTTTGGCGACGCTGCCCGGCGGTGACGTCGGGCGGCGCGCGCGGGCGGCGGACTTTGGCGACGCTCCCCGGCGGTGACAGCGGGCGGCGCGCGCGGGCGGCGGACGTTGGCGACGCTCCCCGGCGGTGACAGCGGGCGGCGCGCGCGGGCGGCGGACTTTGGCGACGCTCCCCGGCGGTGACAGGCGGGGCGGGGCGCGGCGCCGCGGCCTCATTCCCGGGCGGGCGGGCGCCGAGGCGGCGCGGGCGGGACGAGCGGGCCGGGCCGGCGCGGCTGCCGCTCGGCGCCGCGGTCCTCGTGCCAGTGAGCGCCGCGGCCGCCGCAGCCATGACCGTGGAGTTCGAGGAGTGCGTCAAGGACTCCCCGCGCTTCAGGTGCGCCGCCGGGGCCGCCGGGGTGGGCGCGGGCCGGGGGCGTCGCTGCCGCCTTTGTGCCCGGCGGCGGGCTGGGGAGGTCAGGTCGGGCCGGGCCGCGGCCGCCGGGGAGGGGCTGGAGGACCGGCCGCGGACAAAGCGGCGGCCCCGCCCCGCCGTGCTCCGGGGGCCGGAACAAAAGGCGCCCCTGTGCGGCCACCCCGGGGCCGTCCGCCCCGCTTTGTGTCTGCACCTCCGCGGACTGAGCCCTCCCGGGCCCGGCGGTCCCGCTCTGGCCGGCGTCGCCTGGGTCCGTGGGGGCGTCGGCCCCTGGTCTGTGCCTCGATCTGGTGTCCAGAGCAGCGCGGGGGGGACAGGCAGCCGGAGCCGCGTTTAAGGCCTGGGCCGGCTGCGTGGAAGCCTGCAGCGGTTTGAATGGCCCCGGGGCCTGGAGGGGAGGGGCCGAGGAGAGCGGGGAAGGGTCGGTGGGGGGCAGGGGCTGCGTCCACCCCGAGTGCGAGTGTTTTCCGTCGTTCCTGGCGTGCAGGTGGACACACCTGCGGGAACCAGGCGTTCACAGGCGTGTGCACAAGGGTGGCTCAGCCTCGCTTGGTGGACATTTGGCAAAGAAGTCTCTGTCCATCCTCAAGGTCGCAGCTGCGTGCGGCCCCCACCGCTGCACATGCTTGTGCGGGGCGCGCCCTCGTGAGCTCTGCCCCTGTGTGCGCCTCCGTCGGGCCGCCAGGCCTTGCACAGCACGTGGGGGTGAGCCGTGCCCCTGGGCTGTGCGTGGTGCCTGCATGTAGCCTACCGATGGATGCACGCAGGCGTGTGCACGTGCCACTCCTGTGTGGGTTCACGCACTGTTAGCCACGTCACCAACAGACACACGTCAGCCTGTACGCGCGTGTGCCACCACTGGGTGTGCGTCGGTGTGTGTGCACTCCTTCGACACACTTGTATGTGTGGTGCCACTGTGCAGGCATGTTTGTGCATGAACGTGTTTGCACATGCGTGCTTGGTCGTGTGTGCGCGCGTGTGTGTTTGTGTGTGTGTGTGTGTGTGTGCGCGCGCCTGCGCGCGCGCTGGGTTTCTTGGGACCTGCTGGCAAGTCAGCCTGTGTGTGGAGGCATGGGGGGGGAGCCTCAGCATCCCTGGAGCCCTCCCCAGGAGGCCTCAGGATCCTTGGAGTGGGAGGCTTGAGGCAGCCAGAAGAGTGGTCCCTGGCCCTGGGCAGAGGAACTGGGACTGCCCTCTGCTCTCCCATCTTCCATTGCTGACTGGGAAAAGGGGTTGAACAACTCAGGCACCCCACGATCCTGCGTTGAGGACCCAGGCTGCTGTGGGGAGGCGTGGGATGGCCTGCCTGCTGGGGGCTGAAGCACCCACCTTCTCCCTGCTTCCTCTCTCAAAAGCGTAACGGACCTTCTCCCCAACACGGAGGGGCTGTGCTGCTCTGCCCGGTCAGGTGGGGTGCTGGAACCCACTCCCCTCTGATGGGCTTCTGTAGAGCAGGTTACAGGAGCTGGTTATGGGACCTGTGGGGCTGCGGTCCGTACTGCGGGGCGGCTGGCCAGGCGTTTGCGGGTGGGCTGCCATAGGAAACTGCCTCACCCCCGCCGGGCATGGACTGAACTGGACGCTGGTCTTGGGCCACAGAAGCCTGACCCAGTGAGTTTTGGGGTTAGGCTGTGATTTAACTGGGGCTTGAGGGGCTCCCGGAGGCTGAACTGGGGGTCTCCTGAATGCCCATTCTCAGGGGCCCCTGAGGGTGTAACTTGAGCTTCCTGGCCTTCCACGGGGCTGGGAGGCTGGGCAGGGTGGGCGAGAGGACGTGGTCAGTAATGTGGAGCCTGGTCACCCCCGTCCTGGAAAGTGGGACCCTGTCTGTACCCTCCTGGTTTGGGGAGGGCCTAGTGGCAGCCCGGATACAGTGGGTGGGGGGCCGGGGAGCCTGCCTAGGGGAACCGCCTGGCCTCTGTTCAGCGTGCCCCTCCCCTGGGTGGGGCGTCAGGAGCTGAGTCACAACTTTGGAGGTGGGGGCAGCCTCACCCTCCTCCCCATCCTCCAAGCTGCTGAGGAAGCCTGGGCTGAGCACAGTAGAGGAGGCCCAGGTGCCCAGGGCTGAGGATGGGAGAGCTCAGGGGTTTCTGCCAACGACCACCCTGTCCCCATGAGCATGACTGCGAGCTCCGGGGTGCAGCTCCCCCTTTCCAGCTCTCGAGGGACACAGGTGCCCCTGGCCCAAGGGCAGCAGCTTTGGGTGCAGCTGTCCCTGCATCCGGCCCTGCTCAGGGGTGGCTGCAAATCCTGGGGCGTGGCTCTCTGCCGCATTCTCCCGGGCGATGGTCTCTTCTGGGTTCTGGGATCCTCCAGGGGAGGGGAGAAGCTGAGGAAGAGGTGGGGCTCCAGGGGCTGCAGGCTGGGCCCAGGTGGTCAGCAGATACCACAGCTAGCCTCCCTGCATTCCCTCCTGCTTTGGGATTCAGAGTCCTTTTAGCCCCTCGGGAACAGGTGAGGGCTGCTCAGAGAGGACCTGGTGTCCTGCTGGGTGGTTGGGACCCTCCAAGGTCCCTGACTGGGCAGCCTGGCGCCCGAGGCCCCAGATCCTAATTGAGGACACGCGCCATGCAACCTGAAGGCCCCTCCCCACAGGCCTGGGACACTTGGCAGCAAGGATGAAGCACCGTGGGCCCCGATGGCTTCTGCTGCCCGACCCCTGCCCGAGATCTGACCCTGGAGTCCTGCACCCCGTCCTGGCCCCAGCCCGGGCCCTCTGATGCCCAATCCCCAGGAGGCCGGCTGGCCCAGCTGGCCAGCTGAGCTGATTGTGTGGCATGCGTGGCTGCGGGGATCCTGGCCCTGTTCCCCTGTTTCCTGCTCCCGGAGGGGGGTGGTCACGTGCCGATCCGTCTGCCTCCGGTCTTCCGGGGATTCTCCCGCGGAGGCGTCTCTGGTGATGTCATGACTTAACTCTTCTCTCCCCAGGCAGCCCCACTGTCAGGCTGTTCTGGTGGGAGTGGCTATGAGGAGGATGGCCCACCCCTCTTTCTGGACTGCACCGCTTTGCAGTTGTGAGGTTGGGGGAGCCAGCGGTGTCTTTTTTCATCTGGTCTGAGGCCATCTGGCGCTGCCAGGACCAAGAGCAGCCACCCTGCCGCCCCCACCCCATCCTACGGTGCACGGGCACCAGGCCTGGGTGGGCTGCAGGAGTGCAGAGGGGTGAGGGGCAGGCGCTGCAGGGTTGGGGGGTCCAGATGGGTCCAGGGTCAACTCTGAGCTCCTAGAGGAGGGGCCAGCAAGGCTGGCACAGCCGCTGGTGGGCACTATCCCTGAGGGACTCCTAGCAGCTGGCAGTCCTGGTTGAGGCTGGTCCAACCTTCTGCCCCAAGGGCACAGCAGTGCAAGTCACAGCCCATCTCGCCTCTTCCTGCCTGGGGTGGGGGAAGTGCGCTGGATGGGCATCCCAGTCCTGCCCCGGGAAGCAGGCAGGCACCTGCATCTCCCGGCCCGTTTCCTGAAAGCCCCTTCCCATGGCGGAGCCCCTCAGGGAAGTCTAAGGGGGGCGAAGCCAAGCCTGGCTCCGAGGGGCCCAGGCTGCAGGTGACCCCAGCCAGCCCTGTTCTTCTCAGGGCCACCATCGACGAGGTGGAGACGGACGTGGTGGAGATTGAGGCCAAACTGGACAAGGTGAGGGGGGCCTGGAGCTCGTGTCCAGGACTGCTCTGCGCCCCACGCCTAGCCAGACTTGGGATGGCCGCAGGGCAGGACTGGCCCTGTGGGTCTTATTAAGCCACACCTCGCATATGTGGAGCACACTCTGGTGCTCCAGGACCCGGCCCGTGTGTCTTAGCACGTGTGTTCCAGGGTGCACACGCCACACGCACATCCGTGGCTGACCCTGAGTCTCATCCCAGCCAAGAGGGGCTGGGCCGTGGTGAGTCCCTGACCCACGGTGACCGCCTGTCCCTTCTGCTGGCTGCTGGGCTGGAGATGTTGGGATAGCTGCTGTGTGGGCCCAGTCTTGGTGTCTCTGGGCTGGGGCTGGGGTGGAGAAAGGGGAGGGCACCAGGCTGTGGAGCTGGGAGTGAGGAGCCTCGCCCCTGAGCCCCATGCAGGCTGGTCCTGCTGGCTCTGGGTCCTTTGCTTGGCTCCTGGTCCCTTCCAGCTGAGTGAGGCCCTGGCGGCCCCACCCCCTCCTCCCAGACCGGCCTCCCAGCCCCAGGCAGGCCCAAGTGTGAGAAGCCTGAGCAGCAGCGGGGAGCTGGGCTGCACGCACTGAGTCCTGGTGCTGACAGCCCGAGTGGAGCCGCCCTGGGAGCTCTCCCCGCCTGTGAGGCTGGCCCTGTGTGGTGGCAGGCGTAGGCGCCAGTGCCCACCGTACTCACCACACCCTGCCGGCCCGCAGCTGGTGAAGCTGTGCAGCAGCATGGTGGAGGCCGGCAAGGCCTACGTCAGCACCAGCAGGCTGTTCGTGAGCGGCGTCCGGGAGCTGTCCCAGCAGTGCCGGGGCGACACTGTCATCTCGGTGAGGGGCTGGCTGACCTCTGACCTCAAGGCGGGGTAGGGGAGAGCCCGAGTAAAGCAGCCCCTCGAGGGCGCCCAGGCCCGGGAGCATGCGGGTGTCTGTGCCGTCGGGGGCTTGGAGGGCGTGGTTGGGCGGCCTGGGCCAGAACTGCCATCTCAGCGCGGGACCCCATCTGCTCCTCCAGGAATGTCTGCAGAGATTTGGTGACAGCCTGCAGGAGGTGGTGAACTACCACATGGTGAGCCTGGCCTGCCCGGCCTCCTGGCCACCTGCGGCCCTCCCAGCCTGGAACCCAGCTGCGTGTGCTCACTGGGAGGCCTCGCTTCTGCTCCTCCAGTCTGGGGGGGGTGTCCCAGGTTTTCGCGTCAGTGTGGGGTGGGGAACAGCCCCGGGGCTCTGCCGTGTCCCAGGTAAGGGCTACACTTCACTCTGGAGTGGGGGTGGTTTTTCCAGGGTTCCCCCAACTGGGCAGGCCTCTTGTCCCAGGCTGGCCTGGCTGCCATTGGAGTCTGGGTGACGCCAGCACTGGTGTGGATGGACACAGGACAGGCTGTGAGATGTGGGGCCAAAGCCTGGGAGCCTGAGCCACAGACTGAACAGGGGCCCTACCCCACAGGGGAGGTCCCGAGGTAAACCCAGCAGGAGGGCTCTGCTGCCTCTTTGCTCCTTCCTGGTCATGCGCAGCCCTCCTCTATGTGGGGCTCTGATTTGGAGCCCAGGATCTGGTTCCCCAGGCCCAGCCCTGGGTGCTCCCGGCTCTGACCAGTGCTCCCTGCTGCAGGGATGGGCACCCTGGGCGGCCGCCCAGAACCAGAGGCAGTGGGGCTCAGGCTGTGCCCTGAGTGCCCGAGCTGTGTGGGCCACATGAGGGGCCAGGTGGGGCAGAGAGGCAGGGCCACAGCTGCCACTGGCTGCTAACTCAGGCCTGGGGGCTGCTCCCCTGACCCCCTGAGGCCGGCTCTGCCAGGTGGGACCCACCCATGTCTGGGCCTGGGGGCAGTGCCCTCTGCTGGTGAGGAAGGGACCTTTTCTCTGGGGCCCTTTGGGGACCGACCCCAAGGATCTCTGCCCTCCTCTGCCCCTAGATCCTGTTTGACCAGGCCCAGAGGTCCGTGCGGCAGCAGCTCCACAACTTTGTCAAAGAGTGAGTGGCTCCCAGGCCCTCAGGGCCCCCAGGGCTGGGGAAGAACACTGAGGCCACGCTCCCTCCCTTGGAGGGGAGAGAGGTCTGGGCTGGAACGGGAGCACCCTGGCCCCAGGCCTCCAGGCTGCGCTGAGATTCCGAGAGGCAGAAGGCTCAGAGGCAGACAGCCGGGTGGAGCACGGGGGTTCCACGCCCTGCACAGTGGAAATGTCCAATCCACGCTGGGTTTGCGGGTCTGGAGTCCGGGCGTGGCTGGTGTCTGGGCTGGACTGATCCTGAGGGTGAGGTGGGGAGGCGTGGAGCAGATGCGGGGGGCAGTAGGTGAGGAAGGGAGGCTGTGCCCAGGAGCAGAGAAAGGGCCCGGAGTGGAGGAGAATGGGGCTGGGCATGGTGGCTCACACCTGTAATCCCAGCATTTGGGAGGCCGAGGCCAGAGTCTGCCAGGAGTTTGAGACCAACCTGGGCAACGTAATGAGCCCCCATCTCTACAAAACATAAAAAATATTGGTTGAGCTTGGTGGTGCATGCCTGTGGTTCCAGCTCCTCAGGAGGCTGAGGTGGGAGGATCACTTGAGCCCAGAAGGCAGAGGCAGCAGTGAGCCATGACTGTGCCACTGCACTCCAGCCTGGGTGACAGAGAGATTCCGACTGAAAAAGAAAACACCAAGAACCAAAAATTAGCCAGGCATGGTGGCACACACTTGTAGCCTCAGCTACTTGGGAGGCTGAGGTGGGAGGACTGCTTGAGCTTGGGAGGTAGAGGCTGCAGTAAGCCATGATTGTGCCACTGCACTTCAGCCTGGGCGACAGAGAGACTCTGTCTCAAAATAACAGGTAGGGGGGAGGAACAGCGGGGGCGTGGGGAGGTGGGGAGGAATAACATGGGGAGAAATGCCAGATATAGGTGATGGGGAGGAAGGCAGCAAACCACACTGCCATGTGTGTACCTATGCACCAGTCTAACACGTTTTTCACATGTACCCCGAAACCTAAAATGCAATTAAAAAAAACTAATTAATAAAAAAAAAAAAACAGGTGGGGCACAGCAGTGGCTCACACCTGTAACCCTAGCACTTTAGGAGGCCAAGGCTGGTGCATTACCTGAGGTCAGGAGTTCGAGACCAGCCTGACCAACATGGAGAAACCTGGTTTCTACTAAAAATACAAAATTAGCCAGACATGGTGGCACGTGCCTGTAATCCCAGCTACTTGGGAGGCCAAGGCAGGAGGATTGCTTGAACCCAGGAGGTGGAGGTTGTGGTGAGCTGAGACTGGGCCACTGCACTCCAGCCTGGGCAACACAGGGAAACTCCATCCCAAAAACAAACAAACAAAAAAAAACAACCAGCATGGGCGACTGCAGAATCCAGCAGGTGCCCCTCCCTGACCTCTGACCCCACCTGGCACTTGGCCTCCAGGGACGTGCGGAAGTTCAAGGAGACCAAGAAGCAGTTTGACAAGGTTCGGGAGGACCTGGAGCTGTCCCTGGTGAGGAACGCCCAGGCCCCGAGGCACCGGCCCCACGAGGTGGAGGAAGCCACCGGGGCCCTCACTCTCACCAGGAAGTGCTTCCGACACCTGGCCCTGGACTACGTCCTCCAGGTCAGCCCCGGAAATGGGGCGGCGGGTAGGGACCAGCTATGGCGAAGGGAGGCCTCAGAGACCTTGCACAGCGGGACGGGAGGGATTTGAGCAGGAGCGACGTTCCTGCTTTGCCCATGGGTGGAACCTCCGGACAGGGGGAAGGACTCCAGGACCACGGGAGGATGAGGCTGGCCCAGTGCTGGGAGCTGAGGACGACCTGGGGGTCTCAGGGAACCACAAGCAGCTCAGGTGGACTCTATAGCGAAGTGCAGGGCTGGGGCTGCCTCAGCCTCGGGGGGTTCACCTGTGGGCTCCCCCTCTGGCAGATCAACGTCCTGCAGGCCAAGAAGAAGTTTGAGATCCTGGACTCTGTGAGTGCGTGGGGGCTGCCCATGAGCACAGGCTGCTGGGCGGGGCTGGAGCGGGTGTGCTCGGGCCTCACCTGTGCTGCCCCCGCAGATGCTGTCCTTCATGCACGCCCAGTCCAGCTTCTTCCAGCAGGGCCACAGCCTCCTGCACCAGCTGGACCCCTACATGAAGAAGCTGGCGGCCGAGGTGAGCCTTTTGGAGGGGCGGGGGCGGGGCTCCGTGGCCTCCGTGGCCTTCCCTAACGCGGCCCCCAACAGCTGGACCAGCTGGTGATTGACTCTGCGGTGGAAAAGCGTGAGATGGAACGGAAGCACGCCGCGATCCAGCAGCGGGTGAGGCCGCGCAGCCGGCTCCCAGCGCTCCGGGTGCCCGGGAGGCCCCTGCGTCCTCACCCCACGCCCGGGCACACACTCCCGCCTTGTCCTCCCAGCCTGTCTCCCACCTGCCCTGCCCATACCCTCTCTAGGGCACAGAGGCTGCTGCCCTTTGATGTGTGCAGTGGAGGGGCGTGTGTGGGTGGGGTCTCTGCTGGGCTGCCACTGGGACCCGCATCTCCTTCCTTTGAGGCTGTGGTCACCTCTTTGGCCTCAGTCACCGGCCCCTTGTGGGACCTTTGCTTGCCTGCCAGACGGCAGCCCCTGCCACCACCCAGGGCAGAGGTTGGCTGCAGGCAGGAATGGCTATTTTGGGTCAAAAGAGAGCCCCTCGGGAGTTGGGGACGGGTCCGCCAGTCGCCAGGAGTTGGGGGCAGCTGTCACTCACTGGCTCTCTCCCCACCTCCTCCTGCTCCGGCCCTTCAGACACTGCTGCAGGTGAGTGAGCACTGGGCCTGGGCGGGGTGTGGCCTGGGGCGGCAGAAACCAGATGAGGCGGTGCCTTTCCCTCCCCTGCCCCGGGGGCCCTTCAGCACCAAGGACACCTCCTGCCGGCCTAATTGCTCTCCGCAGTTGCCTGCGCTGTGAGGGGCTGGCTCTGGCCAGATCCCCGCATCCCCCGTGCAGCTGTCCCTTCCCGCCCCACGCGGCCTGGGGAGCAGGTGGCCTCGCGTCCCCGCCACTGCCCTGGCCTGCCAGACGGCAGGACACACAGGGCCCTCAGTGGCTCCCAAGCCTCCTGAATGGGGCTCTGTCTGCCCAGCTGGCCACATGAATGGGGCACTTAGGATGCAGAGGGCGGGGGGCAGCTTCCTTCCTGATCACAGCCTGCTTGTCCCTGCAGGGCTGGGGTGGGGCCGGCACTTTCGGGCCCCCAGCTGTGAAGACAAGGGGTCTGCCCATGGGTTTCCTGGCTGAGGGCAGGAAGTGGCTTTGGTGAACTGAGGTCTCCTGCCTGAGTGTGTGGTCCAAGGCCTTGTGGCAGCCTCAGACAAGGACCCCACCCCCGCCTGTGCTCCAGGGAAGCCTAGAGGGTAGCAGGATCCCACAGGGGAGTGCTCAGGGGGTGGGCTCCATCCCCCAGGACTTCTCCTACGATGAGTCAAAAGTGGAATTTGACGTGGACGCGCCCAGTGGGGTGGTGATGGAGGGCTACCTCTTCAAGAGGGCCAGTAACGCTTTCAAGACCTGGAACCGGTGAGGGGCCTTCCTGGGGGGCAGGGGTCACAGCGGCCCTGGGGTGGCTCCGTCTGACTCCCTGAGTCCCCCCACCCACCTAGGCGCTGGTTCTCCATTCAGAACAGCCAGCTGGTCTACCAGAAGAAGCTCAAGGTACATCCTGGGCCTGGGCCTGATGGCTGGACGCCCCACCTGGGCCACAGGGCAGACTGGTCAATTGGGGTTGGCATGGGGCTGGAGCACTAGTGGACGTCAGAGGCCGGACGGTCAGGGAGCAGAGCTGGAGGTGGGGCTTGGGGCTCGGGCGCTCGGCCTCCGGTCTCTAAGGCAAAGCAGGAAGGGGGCGGGCTGGGCTGGGGTGGGGGCTGAGGGCAGGGGCCACAGCAGTGCTGCCCACAGGACGCGCTGACCGTGGTCGTGGATGACCTCCGCCTGTGCTCTGTGAAGCCCTGCGAGGACACGGAACGCAGGTTCTGCTTCGAGGTGGTGTCACCCACCAAGTGAGGAGGCCCAGCCCGGGGGGAGGGGTCTGCGGGGGGAGCTCCTGCCCATTGGAGCTGACACCTGCTCCCCCCACCAACCTGCAGGAGCTGCATGCTGCAGGCCGACTCTGAGAAGCTGAGGCAGGCCTGGGTGCAGGCCGTGCAGGCCAGCATCGCCTCTGCCTACCGAGAGAGCCCCGACAGCTGCTACAGCGAGGTGTGGCCCTCGGCACCCCGCCTCATGCCCATCCACCTGCATGCCACCACGGACGGCCCCGCCCCATGCCCGTGCACATGCCTGCCACCGCGGATGGCTCCTGCAGGCAGTGTGCTGCCTGTGGAGTGTGGGTGTGCATGTGTGTGTGCGCAGTCTCTGCCCACGGGAGGGTGTGCACGTGCTTGTGGAGGTGTGTGCTCCGGGGGGGAGGGAGGGCCCTGGCTTGCGCTGGCACTTCTGGCTGGGGGGGGGGGGGGCGCTCGGGGGAACCACGCTGGCCCACTGTGGGACCGAGCAGCCCCACCCCATCCCTCAGAGGCTGGACCGCACGGCATCCCCGTCCACGAGCAGCATCGACTCCGCCACCGACCCTCGGGAGCGCAGCGTGAAGGGCGAGAGTGTGCTGCAGCGTGTGCAGAGCGTGGCCGGCAACAGCCAGTGTGGTGACTGTGGCCAGCCGGACCCCCGCTGGGCTTCCATCAACCTGGGCGTGCTGCTCTGCATCGAATGCTCAGGCATCCACAGGTGGGCCCCTGAGGGCTGGGCTGGGACTGGGGGGTGGGCGGGGCTGGGGGCCTTGCCTTGCCCTGACTGGTCCCTGCCTCTGCCCTCCAGGAGCCTGGGTGTCCACTGCTCCAAGGTCCGGTCCCTGACGCTGGACTCGTGGGAGCCAGAGCTGCTAAAGGTGGGCGTGGGACTCCTGAAGGCCATGGGACCCCCTTTGTGGGGACGGGAGCTGGGATCCGCAGGTCTGCGCTGATGCCTGCTCACCCGTCTCCCACCAGCTGATGTGTGAGCTTGGAAACAGCACTGTGAACCAGATCTACGAAGCCCAGTTTGAGGGCACAGGCAGCAGGAAGCCCAGCGCCAGCAGCCCCCGGTGAGGTGGGGTGCAGTCCGGATCATCGGGGAGCCCCAGCCTGGGGGCAAAGCCTCATACTCACCCCTGGTCCAGGCAGGACAAGGAGGCCTGGATCAAGGACAAATACGTGGAAAAGAAATTTCTGCGGAAGGCACCTGTGGCGCAAGCCCGGGAGGCCCCAAGACGCTGGAGGGCGCAGAAGTGCCTGCGGCCCCATAGCTCTCCCCGCGTCCCCGCTGCCCGCCGCAAGGTCCGGCTTGAGCCTGCCCTGCCCTGTGTGGCCGCTCTGTCCTCAGGTGGGAAGCTGTGCCCTGCAGGGCTGGGGGGGGCTTGCTTCGTTGGGGGATGGACTCCGTTGAGGTGCTGGACAGGGACTCTGGGGGTGAGCTGGGGTTCCTGGCCCCACTCTGGGCCCTTCCCCCACTCTGAGCACATGGCTGCCCCTGCAGCGGGCACCCTGGAGCACAGGTTCCGCCGGGACTCCCTCTTCTGCCCTGACGAGCTGGACTCCCTCTTCTCCTACTTCGACGCAGGGGCCGCGGGGGCTGGCCCTCGCAGTAAGTGTGGGGTGGGCCCAGCCAGGTGGCAGGGCAGGGCCAGGGAGGCTGGCCTGGAGGGCACCCAGGCATGGACAGCCCTTGCTAGGGAATGGAGCAGCATCTGGATGGGTGGGGGGCCTCCCGGCGACAGAGCTGGAGGCTGAGGCCCTGTTGGGGGTGAGCTGTGCAAATGTGCGTGTGGGCTGTGTGTGCCCAGTTGTGTACATGGAGTGGGTGGCGCCGCGGTGCTGGGCAGCAGAGCGTCTGCTGGCTGGCCCTCAGCCTGGGGCTCTTCTGAGGCCATGCTGCCCGGCAGTTGGGTGGAGACCTTTCAGCCTGGGCCAGCCACAGACAGGGCTGGGGGCCCACTGCAGAGGATGCCGGGTGAGCTCCAGTGAGACCTCCTGAGTGGCGAGCAGGAGGGGCGGGCTTCCCACTGGGCCTGGGCTTTGGGAGCTACCCCTGGCGCCTTTGAGCTGTTACTTGGTTTTTTCTTCTTTGCTCCTAGCCTGCAGCTGGCTCCTCCCCAGTCCCGGGTGGGAGCTGGTCTTGTCCCTAGGGGTGACTCCTGGAGGGGGAGTGGGAGCCTTGCTGCAGGGTTCTGGGTGGAGTCGAGCCTCCCACACTCAGGACTCCCTTCCCTGCGGACCTGCAGGTCTGAGCAGCGACAGTGGCCTTGGGGGCAGCTCAGATGGCAGCTCGGATGTCCTGGCTTTCGGCGCGGGTTCCGTGGTGGACAGCGTCACTGAGGAGGGTGGGTGGCGCCTTGCCCTCGGCCGAGGACCCTGCCTAGCCCCGGGGCAACCCCAGGGAGGTCGCCTTCCCTGACCGCCCCCTCCCCACAGAGGGCGCGGAGTCGGAGGAGTCCAGCGGCGAGGCGGACGGGGACGCTGAGGCCGAGTCCTGGGGCCTGGCGGATGTGCGCGAGCTGCACCCGGGGCTCCTGGCACACCGTGCGGCGCGCGCTCGCGACCTTCCCGCACTGGCAGCGGCGCTGGCCCACGGGGCCGAGGTCAACTGGGCGGACGCGGAGGACGAGGGCAAGACACCGCTGGTGCAGGCCGTGCTAGGGGTGAGCATGGCAGGGGCGCGGCGCGTAGGACACAGGTGCACACTCGCGTTTGCATCTTCTGGGGCTCCCACACGAGGGCCGCCTGTCCGCCGTGGGGACCAGGTTCGGTCCCGGCTGGGGCGCCCAAGGCTGGGGTCGGGGTGCAGAGGCGCTGCGAGAGGCCGGTGTCACGGCTCCGTCTGAGTCGCTCCGGCTCCCCAGGGCTCCTTGATTGTCTGTGAGTTCTTGCTGCAAAACGGAGCGGACGTGAACCAAAGGGACAGCCGGGGCCGGGCCCCCCTGCACCACGCCACGCTGCTGGGCCGCACGGGGTGAGGCGCGCCGCCCCCGCGCCCCCCCCGCCCCCCCGCGCCGCCCCCGCCACACCGCCCCCGCCGGGCACGCCCCCACGATGGCGCACACCCCGCCCTCCCCACGCAAGCCGCGCCCCTGAGCGCATGCGCCCCGCCCCACGAGCACACACGCCCCATCCCCGGGCACGCTCCTCGACCGAACACGCCTCGCCCTCTCCGCTTAAGCCCCGACGCGCTCCTCTGCCCTCGCCCCTCAGCCAGGTCTGCCTGTTCCTGAAGCGGGGCGCGGACCAGCACGCACTGGACCAAGAGCAGCGTGACCCGTTGGCCATCGCGGTGCAGGCGGCCAATGCCGACATCGTGACGCTGTGAGCGCGGCCGGGTCCTCGGGGCGGGGCCTCCGGGGCGGGGCGGGGCCTCCGGGTGGGGCGGGGCTTCAGGGAGCTGGGCCCGTGGGGCGGGGTGGGCTTCCGGGGGCGGGGCCTTGGGGGGGGGGGGGGCTTCCGGGGGGGGGGGCCTTGGGGGGGGGGCGGGCCTTCCGGAGCCGCCTCACGCTGCGCCTCCCCGCAGGCTCCGTCTGGCTCGCATGGCCGAGGAAATGCGCGAGGCCGAGGCTGTCCCGGGCTCCCCGGGCGCCCTGGCGGGAAGCAGCCCCACGGAGCTCCAGTTCCGCAGGTGCATCCAGGAGTTCATCAGCCTCCACCTGGAGGAGAGCTAGGACCGGGCAGGCCGGGCAGTTGCCGCCCCGCCCGGCCCGAAGCCCCCGGCGCCCACCTGGCCGCGGCCCTGCCAGTGACCCGCGGGCCAATGCCCCGCAGACCCAGTGCCGGGGCGCTTCGGGCCCCGCTCTCCCAGGAGGAGCGCGAAGCCCCACCCAGCACTGAGTCTCTTGGAGCTTCACGTTTCCCTGGGGGTGCTGCATTGTCGGGTGCCCCTGACCCCACCTGGGGAACCTCTGTCTTCAGGTCACACCTTTTCAGAGGCCTGGGTTGCTCATGTCACAAGCCACTCTTGAGACCCGTGTCACCTGTGTCCCCTGTCCTCAGGGCCTGTCACTTAGCGCCCCACTGCTACCCAGAACACTGACCTGCTAGCTGGGTCCCTGCTGCACACCCCAGAGCCCCTCCTAGGTCAGAAGGGGTGGCCCATCCAGGGAACCAACGAGTACCTCACTTAGTGACCCCAGCATTCAGGCTGGCATCACAGGTGCTGGGCGGAGGGGCTCTGGCCTGGGTCCTCAGCCCTGGCTGGACGCGGGCGTCCCAAGGCCACGTGGCTGGCCATGAAGGTCCCCGTGCCAGACTGCCCCAGCACGTCCCTGCCTCCTCTGGAGGCTCCTTCTCCCGGTACTCACCCAGAGCCTGTGCATAAAGCCACTTTGCCACTTTCCACCCAGAATCTTACGTTCTTTGTAGCGCATCGAGGGGGTTTTCTACAGACCTTGTCTGTCTTGCGTCTTTTCTCTGTGGACTCTTGAGGACCCCTCAACCCCAGCCCTGCCCCTGGCCAGCCTCACCCTTGGGTCCAGGGGTCCCTCAGCTCATTTTGCAGGGGTCACCAATGCCTTCACGCATCCTTTCCCCGAAGATGCCCGGCAGGGAGGCGGAGCTTCCCCCACTCTGCCCATGTCAGGCTAAGGCCGGTTGGCTGGTCACTATGCAATGCTGTCCCGGGGAGGCTCCATGAGGGCACAGTGGGTGCTGGGCCTGGACCCCCAACTCCCTTGCCTGCTGCCTGTGACCCTGAAGAACAGAATTGACTCTTGCCCCTCCCTGCGTGAGCCTGGCCCTCCCTCCTGCCCCGGGCGCCTGCTGACGGGTCTCCCCCACCTCGCTGTGAATAAACCGCTTCGCCCACTGCCTGCTCCTTGGCTCCCATGCCTCGCTCTGCTCTGTCTCCAGGGAGGGTCTGCGTGCCCTGCCCTCCCTGAGGGGCGGTCCTGAGCTGGCTGACCCTTCACCTGAAGGGATGCAAGTCACACTCCCACAGGCCGCAAAGGGTCTGATGGGGGCCTGGGCGCTTTTTTGACAAAATCTGGCTCCTGGCCAGATGCGGTGGCTCACACCTGTAATCCCAGCACTTTGGGAGGCCGAGGTGGGCGGATCACGAGGTCAAGAGATCGAGACCATCCTGGTCAACATGGTGAAACCCCGTCTCTACTACAAATACAAAAAATTAGCTGGGCATGGTGGCGCGTGCCTGTAATCCCAGCTACTCAGGAGGCTGAGGCAGGAGAATTGCCTGAACCCGGGAGGCGGAGGTTGCGGCGAGCCGAGATTGCGCCATTGCACTCCAGCCTGGGTAACAAGAGCGAAACTCTGTCCCAAAAAAACATCTGGTTCCTGACACCGCCGGCCCCCATTGTCTTGCTCCTCCACCCTTCTGTCTCCTAGACTTCACCCCTGGTGGGAAGAGGGGTGGGTGGAAACCAGCGGGGCCGGGCTGGGGGCTCCCGTCCCGGGCCCTCTGCCCAGGGTGGGGTCAGGGTTTCAGTTTCCTGGGCACGGGGTTGCTGGAGACGCGCACAGGCACACACTGGCCACCAGGTGGAGTCAGCAGCTTTATTTTCAGAGCAGCCCACGCCGCCACGTGTGTCTGTGGCCCCCCCCACGGCCTTCTGCCTCCACAGAAGCTGCGGCTGAGGCAGCTACACTGACACACGGGCGCATCAGACGTGTGGACACGCAGAGACGGACATGCACACGGGCGCATCAGACGTGTGGACACGCAGAGACGGACATGCACACGGGCGCATCAGACGTGTGGACACGCAGAGACGGACATGCACACGGGCGCATCAGACGTGTGGACACGCAGAGACGGACATGCACACGGGCGCATCAGACGTGTGGACACGCAGAGACGGACATGCACACGGGCGCATCAGACGTGTGGACACGCAGAGACGGACATGCACACGGGCGCATCAGACGTGTGGACACGCAGAGACGGACATGCACACGGGCGCACCACTGCACGTCAGTACCTCCAGCCGCAGAATTGACTCTTGCACGTGGGAATCCCCCCTCCGCCCTGGGCCTCCCAGAGACCCACCCCAGGCAGGGTGGGTGGTTGACCGGAGGCCCTGACATGCCTGGCACCTGCCTGCCCACAGGCCACGTGTGCTGCTCTAGCCGCTGGTCTGGCCCACTCTGGGAAGCCGGGCAGCCTGTTGCTGCCACAGCTCCAAGGACCAGGCTAAGAGATGAGAGGGCCCTGGTGGGGCCGGTTCAGGTGCCGGGTCTCAAGGGTCAGGGGCCTAGCCCGGATCTCTTTGGCTGAGACTCTCGCCAGAGCCTGTGAAGCACCATCCATGGGAGATGAGGCCCGCTAGGCCCTGGATGGCTGACGTCTCACCTGCAGGTGTGGGCATCTGGCTGACCCCTAGCTTGATGTTGGACAGCCCCGAGGCAGGGCGGGCCTTTGGCCAGGAGAACCACGCCCTGCGGAGCCTGCGGCCACCCAGCAGCAGGGTGAGGGCCGAAGCGTCCAGCAGCAGCTCTAGGAGCTCCAGGAGGGAGAGGACAGAGGCCCCAAACCACAGGCTGCAGAGGCTGCCCATGGCGGAGAGCAGCTGTGGCACCTGCGGGGGGGAGGTGGGGGCGTGAGGGGCGGGCCCGGGCCCCTGTGCCCCTTCTGTTCGGGGCCAGCCACTGGCTCTGCCCTACCCCGGCCCAGGCCGGGGCCAAGGCTTACCGAGTACAGGGGCGCCTCCTGCACTGAGCGGTAGTTGAGCTCCTGGTAGATGATGTTCATTTTGGCCAGGTTGCTCCTGGGGCGGGATAGAGGTGTGAGGGTGCTGGCCCAGACTTTAATGATGGGGGGGTGCAAGGGTAGAGAGGCTGGGATGCCCCCCTGTAGGGTGAGGGTGTACCCACCTCTGCCCGCGGCTCTGACGTGGCAGTCGCTGCTCACCAAGCGCAGCCAGAGTCCAGTCCTGCACACGGAAGGTTTGCTGTGGCCACGGCTCCACCACCCCCCCGGCCATCCCGGCACCATGGTGGGCGTGGGGGCAGAGACCACGGGGCACAGGCTGGGTCGGCCCGGCCCTCCTTGGCTTGGGCTCTTTGGGGACTTACAGCCGACTTGGCGGAAGGCCACCTGGAGGTCCCAGCAGAGACCTTGAATGCAGATTCCCTGGGAGAAACAGCTGGGTGTCACTTGCCGTGCTCCCTGAAGCAGGGACCTCTGGCCCTGACCCCAATAGCCCCCTCTCACCTGCAGGGCCTGGGGCAGCGGGAGGCACAGGGGAGCCGGTGGGTCTCCAAGTCCTGGTAGAGGCGGTAGAAGCAGTGCCCTGGGGGGGAATCACAGGCACACATGAGGCTCGCTGTGACCTCCTCTCATGGCTGGCAGTGTGGGAGGCCGTGGGCAGGACTCACCCCAGGCAGGGTGCCGGACGGAGCTGCAGTGCTCAGCCCCAGCCGGCAGCGGGTACAGGTAGTAGCCGCAGGAGCAGGTCTCCACCATCAGCTGCTGGAAGCAGGACACCAGGCAGGCCTGGGGACATGGGGGACGGAGCGGGGGCATCGGGGAGGAGGCAGAGACAACGGACAGAGCCAGGATGTGGGATGGAGTGGACACAGACTCCCCCGTGCCCTGCAACGCACCCCGCCAGCCCAGCCTCACCTGCCTGGTGTAGGAGGCGTTGTGCAGCAGTTGCACCTCTACGCCTTCCCCGCCTGCCGTGCAGTGGCCGTAAGGGCCCCCGAGCCGGTGCACCTCGTCCTGGGAGAGACACTTCAGTTCCAGGGGCCCTGCCCTGAGGCCCTGCCCCCACACCCCAAAGCCCAGGTTGGGCTGGAAGCCGGGCTTCAGAGGCCAGCGCACCTCTCGGATGCTGATGGTGGTCTCTGTCCCCGGCCGGATGCTGAAGCTGTGGTGCTCCAGGAAGGGCGTGTGGTTGTGGCCGTGGACCATGACCTTGATGCCGGCTTGCGTGGACAGCAAGGGGAGGTGGGCCTGCTGCTCAACCCTGAGGACCAGGCCGATTCCTGGGAGGCCAAGGGCTGGTGTGAGGCCACCTGACCTGCACCCCTGCCCCAACACCGGCCACAGACTGGCACTCACCATGGGTGATGCCAGGGCGCTGGGCTGTCCAGATGCCATCAACGGTGGAGCAGCTGCCATGGGTAGGGTGGTGGAAGGTCTGGAACTGCCTGGAACGTGAGACCAAGCTCTGACCCTGAATGCCAGCCACCCGCCACCCGTCCTGCATAGCCTGAGAGGCCACGGCCTGCCCTGCTCATGGCTAGCCTTGGGCAGCTCCCAGCATTCAGCCAGAGGGACCCCAGGGGCGTGGCCACGCTGTGCGGGGCGGGACGGAGTGAGCAGCCCCCTTCTGCCACACTCACCGGTCCTGACAGTTCTTGCCGTCATAACTGCAGGAAAGGACAAAGCGGCCATTGTGGCTCCCGTGGCTCCCGTGGCTCTCCTCCCATGCTGTGGGCAGCAGGGCGAGGATGTCCATGTAGTGGAAGCGGTACCAGTCCCGAATGGCCGCCACGCCTGATGAGTAGCCGCGGTAGAAGCAGTCGCTGCCC